GCGCGTGGGGGAACCGTCGGGGCTTCCCATTGTTGTCGTCTGCAGGGGGAGTGTGAGGGAGGCGCAACCTGTGGGCGCCAGCTCGTGCATGTGCGCAGCCTCACCTCGTGGGGAGGTTCGTGTGGCGCATCTGCCGGCCGCTGCCACAGGTCGGGTCTCACACACAGGGATTGGCCATCGCCAGCTGCTGGTTGCCGCGCCCCGGCCAAGGGACCCACTCAGATCCGCAACCGTCCCACCTGGGAGCTGCCGCTTGCGCACGATCCATGGGGACTGGATGCGGCCGCAAATTTGAACTTGCTGTATTTCATCTGGCCCCCGCCGCGGACGCGCTCGCGTTGCTGCATCGGGGCGCGCGGGGGTGCTTGGCCGGGCACGTCGCCCCGTCAGACAGGGTGGGCAGTAGCCACCCCCTAGCAGCAGCCGCCCGTCTGGGAGCACCTCAGTGGTGCTGATCGCTGTAAGATGATTTTCATATATATTAGACACACGGCACCGTGCAGCAGGTTAGCGAACTGCAGGGCCAGCGTGAGCCTCGCTGAACTACGTGTGGGCAAATGGACGCGTGGTAAAGAGCTAGCTAGATGAAATACATGTATGACATATGGGTATACAAATACTCGATCACGACTACCAAGCGGGGTGGGGGGCATGACGAGCAGCCATGCAGCGGTTTCTTCAACAGCTGCGATCCATCTAGCAGACGGCCTGGCGGCTGCCGCCTGAGTTGAGAGAAGCCCTGCCTGTCGCAGCGATCCCCCCAAAGCCCCGACTATTATGTGGCCCCGTCCTAGACACTGCCCTCCGGCCCCGCTTCAGGATCCACCACCGCCTCTTGTGCACATATAAGTCATTGCAGAAATGAGGGTTAGGCGCCCTCCCAAATTTCGCTGCGCGGTTCTTTTGGGACTAAGCTTACCACAAGGACCTGCCCTGACTCTTGACGAGAAACCTCGAAGCCGCAATTGCTGCCTAGCTGGATTGCGTTACATGGGAGGCCGTCAACGCCAGGTTGCTGACTTTGCTTCTCGAGGCGCCGGCCGAGGGCGGCGGCGATGGCAAAAAAAAGAGCAAATGGAAGGAGAAGTAAGCCAGATTATGGAACGTCATGTTGTCCAAGGCAGGTCCCCGAGGCGGCGCTGCCGGGCTGCAAAAATGAGGGTTGGCAGCCTTTCAGCAGCCGCGCGTGTGCTTCGCATGAGTCCGGACATGCGTTGTGTTGCAGCAATCGAGGTGCTCACGCGGGCCGCGCGCAATGGCTTTGGGAGTGGTCGCGGTGCGCGGTGCGCGAGCGCCGGCTGTGGCGGCGGCGCGCTTATGGACAGAGGGGTAGCTGGCAAGCCAGCAGAGGGCGGCGCCTCGCCAGAGGCGAGAAGAATTGACGAGTGAGAGCAGGTGCCCTTCAGGGGCGCGCCAGTGAGAGAGTGCGGCGCGCGCGGGCGGGCGGCGGGCCTCAGGGCGCCGCGGCGGCGTGCGTGCGGCGACAACAGCCTGTACACGGGTCGCTGCCTATCATCAGGCGGCTGCGATGCTGCAGAGCAACACAGGGCGGGGGTCTCTGAGAACAAGCGGCGCCGCGGCCGCGCAGGCGGCTTGTGGGAGCAACCGGAGAGGTCGCCTGCGCTGAGGGTTTGTTTGGGTGAGATGCGTTAAAGGGACCCAGAAACTGAAGAGGTCGTTATTGCAGCCCAAGCTGCAGGCAGGACAATTGATTGCACATTTTCAGAAATACATGGCACTCTACATATTTGGACGGTCATTTGCAAGAAGGGGCAGCTCGGTCAAACGCGCGCTGCCCGGTCAAACTCCACCGCTGTGAGACACACGCCGCAGGCCACAGGCGCCCCAATTCAGGCTCGGGCCGACGGCAGCCGCGCCACCGCCCCGCAGGCCGCCGCTGTCGCCGCCAGCTGCCACCATCTCTACAGCGCGAGGCGCCCGAGCCGCGCCGCCGCCGCCGCCGCCGTCGCTGCCGTCGCTATCGCCGCCGCCGCCGCCGCCGCCGCCGCTGCGGCCGTCCGCCTCACTCGATCCGACCTGCTCGTACCGCCCGCCGCCGCCGCCGCCGCCGCCCTCGCCGCCGGCCAGCAGCCGCTGGCACACGACCGCCATGCCGTACGCCGTCCCCACCGCCAGCGCAGCGCCGGCCGCGAGCCACGCGGCGCCCAGGCCGCCGCCGCCCGGCGCGGCGGCGGCGGCGGCGCCGCCGTCGAGGAGCGCGAGTAGGTCGTCTGCGGCCGCTCCGAGGTAGGCGAAGAGGCATGAGTAGAGGGCGGCGACGGCGGCCGAGGGGACGGCGTAGGGCAGGAGGCGGATGGAGGTGGCGCCGAGGGCGTAATTCAGCACCTGGGGGAAGGGGGGGGGAGGGTTGAGATTAGACGAGACGAGATGGGTGCGGCGAGATGGGATGACGGGTGCACGTGCAAATGCCGTGGGTGTGGGGCCGCGGCGGATTTGGCGCTGGGTTGTCACACAAATAAGGGGCGGGGTGGCAGCGGGAGGCTGAGCCGGGCCCCGCGGTCACCGCGCGCCCGGCCGCCGGCTGCCTGCAGTAGCCCGCGGCTGGTCAGAGGACCGAGCCTTGGCTTGGTCGGTGCCATGCTTTGCTATTGGAAGCCATCCCAAATTGCGTCCTCTTTCACAGCAAGCCGGCGAAGAATTCTCTCCTATCCGCCCGATCCGCTGCGTGGCCTATTCGATCTCCCGCCCCACGCGTCGCCTCACGTTGTAGGGCATGAGCGGCGACAGCCGCAGCAGCAGCACCAGCTTCCAGCCCTCCGCCGCGACGCGCCGGTCGATGGCCGCAAAGTTGGGGACGCGCCGCAGCAGCAGGCCCGCGACGGCGTCTCGTAGCAGGTAGCGGCCCAGGTAGAACGCCGCCACCATGCCTGCGGGTGCGGGTAGCAAGCATGTGCGAGTTTGGGAGCAAAGGACGTCAGAGTGTAGGGACGATGCGCGCTTGCGCACAGAGATACATACATGTATGCAGATGAGGGTATGAGGGTACTCAACTGCACATGTCTTGTGGGCGATGAGGAGCCAAATTGGGTTGAGAGTCCGCTATTCCCACCCAAAGAGTGAAACATGACAGGCGCATGCTCGTGCCGGGCGCCCGCGCCGCCGCACTCTCCACACGCGCTCACAGCATGTCCCTGCTCCCCCCCCCCCGGCCGGACGCGCCGCTGCACCGCCCAGCACCTTCCCGATTGTCACGCACCCCCTGCCGCCCACCTATGACGGTCGCCGTGAAAGATAGGATGGACCCCACCACAAACCCAAACGCCGCGCCGGCCGCGACGCTAAACAGCATGCCAGGGAGCATCAGTATGACGCCGGCCGTGAATACCGCCAGGTAGGCGAACGACGACGTCACCGGGTTACGCCGCATGACCTGGACGACCGCGTGGAGGTTGTCGGGCGTCGCATACCGCAGCGCGACTAATGAGATGACGGCCAGCGCCACCAGCGCCGCCGCGCGCGGCGCCGAGAACATTGGGCGCGGGTCTGAGGCAAGGGGCCGCGGGGTGGCGGGCGCGGCGTTTGGGCCCGGGGCGAGGTCGAGCGTGGAGTGGCATTGGGTGGGGTCCAGGCCGCTGCCGGCGCCGCCGAGCGCCGGCGAGCACAGGGCGTCTGCTGCCGCCGACGCCGATGCAGCTGCTGCTGCTTCTGCTGCTGTGGCAAAGCGGGCGCCCTCAAGGCGCCCGTTTGGCCAAGCGCTGCCGTGGTTACTGAGGCCGGCGTGTTTGTAATAGGCGTGGCTGCTGACTGGCAGCAGGGCATGCGGGCTGCCGGCGCTGCTGCAGCTGCACGGGCTGCCGCCGCACCCCGCCCCGCGGCGCCCGCACTCGCAGCCGCCGCCGCTGCTGCTGGCGCCGCTGCTGCTGCTGGCGCCGCCCCGGGTGGGGGATGGCGGGCTCGGCGCGCCGCCGGCGCCGGCGCCGGAGGGGCCACGGCGCGAGGCGCGGCGGAGCGTCGCGGATTGCGGGGTGGAAGGCGGAGAGCCGTCCGACAGGCAGCCCAGCGTGGGCGGACGGCACAGCAAACCCGCCCGCTCGTCGGGCGGCTGCGCGCCGCAGTCAAAGTAGCCACGTCCCGCTCTTGAAGGTGTGGCAGCTACAGCCGGCAGCAGCGCCATCGCCGTGCGGGGCACGAAGCGCCCCGCTCGAGGCGGTGCGGCGCCCTGCCCGCGGGCGCCGAGGGACGGCGCGCCAAGCGCGCAGCTTAGAGAACCAACAGATTCTATTACTTGTCGGTAGAAAATACTATTGCACGCGCCGAGACTGCGCGCATGCTTGCAGCCTGGGCAACTTGCTGTGTGGCCCGTCCAAGCACTGTGCCCGTGCCATTTCCGCCCTATACTGCGCACATGATGCGATATCAGGCAGATTATAAATCCTTTGAGCCCAGTTTGCGGCCGATTGATGCAAAATGCGGACGCAGATGCCACCTGGGCGACGAATGAGGATATGCCCGAGCTGCTCGCGGTGAAAATAGACAGAGTGGACGCTTTCAGATGACAACGCAAGCCCGCACTCGCCGGTAAGCCCCACGCGTCGGTTGTCCGCACACCTGCTCCCCGACCTGCCGCCCTCGACGGGTGCCGCGTAGCAGGGGGTGCGCCCGCGCTCGGTCTTAGCCGCGCGCGTGCCCTCTCCGCTTTCCCTGACCTCGAGCTTCAACAAACTCGCAGCTATGATCCTGGGCTCTTGCATGGTCTGTGCATGTGGTTGACCGGTCCAGGTGCGCCCAGCAGAGCGCTGCTGGAAGTTGGTGAGAGGAGCCCGGGCCGTGCTGCCCCCGAGGCTGGCGCCCCTGCCTTGTGGCGCACGAGCCGCCTGCCACCCTGTTGCTGCTGCTGCGGCCCTTGTGGTGCGGCGGCAACAAACTGTAAAATAGCTGTGCCCGTATCATGGGGCACGGCCAAGAGCTGGCGGAGATGGGGATTGAAGTTCTGCCGCCATTACAAAGCGAAGCAACGGGCACGAAGCGCACGCGCCAGCTGAGCAGACAAAACCACGAATCAAGGCGGCGCCTGCTGAGAGTGTTCGGCTATATCAAGTCAACGCCGCCGCAGCCCATGCACTGCGCTGACGGCACGCCGTGTGCATCACCGGCGCCCCAAAGCCCCAGCCTGGGCGACACCAGTCTTGCACGACAAATTGATTGCTGGGATATCAAGTGATGCTCATCTCTGAAGTTTTGTAGTGGTATGTATATTGCAAGACAGGCACAGCTGGCAACAAGAGCCCGACCCCGCCATTCATGCTGGTCATTCGTGTCTGCAGGCAGGCTCAAAAAGGAATCCGCGACAAGGATCAAGGCATGCCGAATGGTTCGCCCGCAGCCCAGGGCCTGCAGGCCTCGTGTTTGAGATGGCAGGCGAGAACCGCCGCCAGCAGGCCACCCTCCAAGGCCCGCAGTCAATCATCACGCGCCGGCCCCCGCCTAAGGCCTCCGGCCCGCGGGCGTCGGGCGACCCACCCCGCCGCGACGAGCACGCCCGCCCCGGCCAAGGGCAGTGCGAAGGCCCACCCGGCCCGCGCCACGCCGCCCGCGCCGCTTGCCGCCGGCCCGTTTGCGGGCGTGCCGCCGCTGCCGCCGCCGCTGCTGCCGCCGCTGCCGCCTGTCGCTCCATTCGGAGACGCGGCCACTGCATCGCTGCTGCTGCCGCCGCCGCCGTCAAGGGACGCGGCCCCTGCGTCGCCGGCGGCGTCGCAGCCCTATTTGCCCGCGCCCGCACTGACATCGGCGGCGGCGGTGGCGGGGTACACCCCGAGCCGCTTCCTGAGCGTGAATCCCCGGTCAAACGCGTCGGCGGCGAGCAGAGCGCACCGCGCCGCGCCGGGCGGCGCGGAAGGGTGCATCGTCTTGGTGCAGGCCGGCTGCAGGACGGTAGCCGCGAAGAAAGCGTAGGGGCCTGTGGGGGCGTCGCAGCTCGTGAAGAAGCCCTCCCTCACAAACGCCTGCGGCCAGGCGCGGGGGCGGGGACGAGGGGTCGGCGGGTCGGCGAGCGGGCGCGCCTCGGCGCCGGCTCATGGCGCCTTCAGTTCCCCGAGAGGTGCACCAACCAGCGGCCCCCACACGTAGCTTGATCGACCCAGCCAGCGGGGCGTGGTGAGGCGTCGCGCCCCTCTCCAGCCTGCAAGACACACCCCGTGAACCCCGGCTCTCCGACACAGAACGCCGATCCTTCGACACTGAACCTTGAAGCCTAAAACCCCCAAAGCCCTGCACCCCACCCCGCACCTTCACGAAGTATTTATTGCCGGTGAACGCGGCGCTCACGAGCGCGGCCGCCGCCTTCCCGTCCTGCTTGGACCCGCCCGCCTTGACCGCCGCGCCCTTGACCTGCGCGCCGTTGACGAGCAGTTTGACCGACACCCTCAGCGGGCTCTGCCCGTCCGGCAGCGGCGCGGCGGCGAGTGGCAGGCCGAACTCGTCGTTCTTGCCCGCGTTCGGGTTGGAGTCCAAGGTTAGCTGGTCGGCGGCCGACGCGAGGATAGAGGCGAGGGCGGCGGCCTTGGGCTGGGGGCAGTCCTTGCAGGTGGCGGTGAGCTCTATCACATTGGTCTTGGAGTACTGCAGGGGGTGGGGGGGGTGTGAGGTGTTGGTGGGTGTTTGCGGGGGCAGAAGGTGAGGCAGCGTGATAGCTTTTGTGCGTATGTGTGAGATTTTTTAGTGATTGTGTTGTGTGCGTGTGTGTGTGTGTGTGTGTGCGTGTGTGTGTGTGTGTGTGTGTGTGAGAGAGAGAGAGAGAGAGAGAGAGAGAGAGAGAGAGAAAGAGAAAGAGAGAGACAAAGACTGTGTGTGTGTGTATTTATGTGTCTGTGTATGTATGTGTGTGTGTGTGTTGTGCGGCACACGTAGCAGCAGCAGCAGCAGCAGCAGCAGCAGCAGGCACGCCGCAGTGGACGCCGCAGCGGCAGCTGCCGCGCGGCCGGCCGCTGCGCCGGCAGCGCGGCACCCCCCCTCTTCCCCAGCGCACATCCTGGGGCAGTGTGACTGTCAGGGCCTTGTCCCCCTCGAGGGCGGCCTTCATCAGGATGACCGCCTCAAGGCTGTCGCGCGAGATTTTCGAAACGGGACGCCCGGTTCGCGCGCGGGAGGGTGTGTGGGGGTGTCAGTTTTGTGTGTTGGCGCAAGGTGGTGCGGGGCGTAAAGTGCGGTGGGCGTGCGGGACTGAGCTGCGCGGGGCGTGGCGTTGGAGCCGGGCCACGGGCGCTGGTGGCGGTGCACGGATGGGGCTGCGTTCAAAGCGGGGGACTCGTCTGCCATGAGGCCACTTTTGGTGGCCGGGCCAAGAGGCGGGGCAGGGCGGCCCGGGCGCAGGTGCACGTGGTGACATGCACTGAGCACGGCACCCATCCAGCTCACGTCTCTGCTCCAGGCGCTGGCAGACATGCGTATGCAACTTGCTGGACTGCTAACACCAAGAGCAGGACGGCAGCGTGCAGCGAACGCGCTGCCATGATCTATTGAACGGTGAGAGATCAACGAGAAAGAGCAGCCACGGGTAGTTGCCGGCATAACAGACGGCGATGTGGTTGTCAAAGGCTTTGGTATCGGATCGTCTGACATACACGCTGACTCCGTGGTCAGCTCCCGTCCACGACGCAGCTGGCGTGGCACGCAGGTGAAGGGCGGTACCTGCAGGGTGCGTCAGAATATATACTAGCTCGAATTATGCTGGTGATATTGCAGCACGATGTCATGCATGAAGTGGCTGGTGTGACATCATTTATGATATACCATGGGCGCGCAGACCCGACCACTGCTGCCATGTACCATGGCTACTGGTAACGCACAGGGCTAGTGCACATAGGAACTCGCCTCAAATTCATGGATTTGTGCCGTTCCGACATGTATAAGTCATCACGTAACTTTGGGGTTGACTGGAACGACTGAGCCATTTGCTTTGCAGCCCGGTTGGCTGGGACAGCCACTTAGCCTTGGCGATGGCACGCCCTCTGCACAGCCGGTTGGCACGGGCCGGCCAGCATCGCTCAACATTCTGTAAGCAATATGCATCTCAATGGCATGCAGTCGTTTTGCCACAGGGTTCCTACCGCTGCCGCTGGCGATGCCGCATTTCCCACTGCTGCCCAGCCTTCTGAACATGGTGGCCAACCCCCCAAGGCTACTTCCGACCACCAGCAAAATCCGCTTGACAAGGCCCTACACACCTGCACGCCCGCACCCATACGCCACCCACCAGTTCATCAAACACGGGGCGGGCCGCGCTGGAGGGATGCTCTTCGTTACAGGTCAAATTGCTGACGTCACGCCGCGTCACCCGCCGCACAGCGGCGCCGCGGGCGGTGTTTTCGCCCCGCAGCCACACTGAGTCACAGTCGGAAGCTACTTGGAAGCTACTTGGAAGCTACTTGGCCGCCTGTCCTGCGGCCTGCCCCGCTGCCGCCGCCGCGGCGGCGGCTGCTGCCTCCTCCTTGTGCTGCTGCAGCTTGGGCCGCGCGATGCCCTTTGCCGACGACTGGTAAGTAGCCAATACGAAAATATCCGCGATCTGGACATGGGCCGGCCTGGGTTTTGAGATATTAGACGGTGCAAGGTGTGAGGTCGGGTGAGGTGCGGTTTGTCAGGTGGGACGGGGGGAGGGGGTGCCCAGCGGGGCTCCTGCCCTCTAGGTGGTGGGAAACTTGTTAGGGTTGGATTTATATGGGGGAGATGATTCAGGCGGGGCGGGGTGAGTGGGGTGCCACCCAGCCACATCTGACGCGGGGTGCTATCCCCCTCTCCAAAGGATACGGTCAAGAGAACGGAGGGGGAACGCGGGTTCGCGCTGGGACACGCGTTGTGGGGCAGACGGCGGGGTCGGCCGTGGGAGTGGGGAGGGCCGCCAAAACACACCGCAACGAGGGTGTGGGCACGGCGGGGTTTGAAGGGTTGACAGGGTGCAACCCCCCCGGTTGCGTCTGGGCGGGGCACCTCATCTTATGAGGGCTGGCGAGTGGGCGGTGCCGCGGCGTAGATCACCGACTGCCAATATAAACCCCAAACTGTGTCATCCGCGTCTGGCCGGCCGGCCCTTTGTAACTCGTTACAAAACCTCCGGGTGCCTCTCACCGGGTGACCGCGTAGATCGCGTTGTCGGCTATGTCTGCCGCCAGGATGGGGTCCATGCCCTGGGGG